GGGCCCTCAGATGAGGTTCTCCTGGGTTACCTGAGCAGGCCCTACGTACCCTGAAATTTCCTTCCAGGAGACAGGGAGGAGAAGGCCGCATGCAGACTGAAGAAGGGATTAGTGATGCAGGCACAGTCAAGAGCACCAAGGAAGGCCCAGGACTGTAGCAAGCTGGAAAGAGGCAAGGGAAAGAGTCTGACTATAGCTTCTGATAGAAGCACAGTCTAGCTGACCCCAGTTTCAACTTCTGTCCTCCAGAAACGTGAACAATACATTACTGCTACTTTAAACCACCCAGTGCGTAATATGTTGTTAGGGCAGACGTGGGAAACCAATACACTGTTGTTTTACAAAATGAAGTAAATTGTTCCCTGTAGTGAATTATGAATAAGGAAGAGTATTTTCGGGTCACCGAAGAACATGCTTGGTGTTCTGGGACTCTGGCTCTGAACCGGGATGGAGGTATGGGCAGCAATCTCTAGGGAGGAGATAACGCAGCCGCAATTGGCAAACAGGACAAAGGAGAGTTTGATGAAGGAGCTACCAAACTAACACTTACCTGCATCGGGCTAATCTGAGCTTCACACCCATTCTTTACACCCTATCCTTCATGAAAGTTTATTCTTCAAACTGGTGCTTTAGAGATTGAATAGCCAGAGTCTGTACTCCACACCAGAGCAGGGCAGGACAAGAAGGCAAAAGCAGTGCAGAGAAGGCAAGAAACACAGGAGGAAACCAAAATCCAGCAGCACCATGGAAATAATGAGATGCAATAGAGGGAGAAGCAAAAACCTGAAGGGATGTGGAGGGGGCAGGAGACAGGGCTTCCATGAGTGCACTGGAGAGTAGAGGAAAAAAGCTGCAAAGACTGCCGGGCTTGGCCACACAAAAGCAGCAGAGGTTTGGACTGGTTTATCAAAGAGGATAATTTTAGCTTGAGTAAAATTCCAAGTTGTTTTTGAAATCAGTCAGGCAGGACCATCTTTCTGGTCTTTTTCTTTCTGTTCCACCTCCATCTCTGCTGTGTGACGATACAGATTTTTCTCACTGTGCTGTAGAGAACCTGCTCTTCTCTCCATTACAGAGTTGATTCCATAAAGAAACTATCAAAATTCAGAACAATACAGGACTTAGCATGAGAAAAATTATCAAGTAAGGCAACAGTGTTTGAAACATCAAAGAGGATGAGACGAGAGAGATGCAAGTCAGAAAGTAAGATGAGCTCCTGAAAAATGGGCAGAAGGATGATCAGACACACCTATAAGGGAATAAAACAGGTGACTGTGACAAAAATCAAATAAATAGCAAGGGATGGAAAGGCTGGAAAGAATGAGAACTGAAGTTAGCAGGGAAATATGGGAGGGAGAAAGCAAGCTGAGAATGCACTGCACTGTGTCAACATAATGAAGCAATTTATATTAAATGTGTATATTTTTAGAATATATGTAAAATCACTTCAACTCTCTGGACTTTAGTGAGAGGCGTAGTCAATTTAATTTTAATTCAAGCAAGGTTTTCCAAAGACCATACAATTTTGGTCAATCAGGATTTATCATACTTCAGGAGAAGTTCGGTGAGTTCGGAAATGCGTTAACTATCTTATGACATTTGGCTTTTGTGACAAATCAGTGGCTTCCAGTATAACCAATGACACAAAGGAGCTCCTTTATTTCCCAAAGTGAACACACACCCTTAGCAAGCAACTCTAGAATCAGAAGGCTGTAGTGCAGATTTTGTGGAAAGGCCAATGATAAAGCAACACGTGAATGAGTTATTAGCCTTTTCTAGCTCCAACACTAATTTGTTTTTATGTGAATTAATATAAATGCTGAAGAAAAACTACCTGGTGTTATGAAATTTGAAAAATGTGCCCTTGGAAAACTTTTAGTCATCTATTTTAGCTTTATAGGAAAGAAGTTCTCTTTAAAAAGATGAAATGTGAAGGTGATGAATATGTAATAATGTTTTCATACACTTGCCAATTTAATGTGTTTGCATAAATATTTAATACATCAATCTTTTCAAGAAGAACATATACTGAATTTAAATGGGACTCTTCTTTTTCATTAGATTGGCCTATTTCTAAAATCCCCAGAAAAACATTATATTATTTGATTGACATTTCCAAAACAATCATCAAACTTTTTATTTTGAAACGTCACAAAAAATTGTCATTTTTATTTAGCCTTTAAGCAGTGTCATCATTGGACAAATGTGTGTAGTTATGTGATGCATAAAAGTAAAATCTGTTTCTAGTTGATTTGGTAACACAAGAAAGTATAAAATCATGAGTATTAAGAAAGAAGAAAATGTGATGATATCTTAAACTAGGAATGTTTTTGGGAGATCCTGACAAAATTCTGTCAGGTTTGGCTTTCTTTCAGTAAAGCATATAGACTTTCCTCATGAAATTCAACTTAGCTCCATTAAAAATATTGTCATTATTATGTTTCTGTCCAGCTAAACACAATTCCTCATTATACTGTTGTCCCTAAATTTCAATCAAAGTCAATTGCACTTTCTAATTGCTTTCTTAAATTGTATATATGCCTGCTACATAGTTGTTTCAATGACACCTTGAGTCAGTTGATCTCTTTTCTTATGTGTGCTCTTTCAGGTGTTATTTTATGTATTGGATGCACGACAAACTATCTAAGTTAACTCTTTTTTTTTTTTTTTTTTTTTTTTTTT